TCGACTCTTTGGATCGACGCCAAATTTCACTCGTCCAGTTTCCGCCGAAAACGAAAAGGTGGAAGGTGTTGCAATGAAAGGAAGTCCTATTTCGGGGAAGCAGGCGCTCCATGTCTTGCGCTATAAAATCTAACCGTTCAAACTTACTGGGAAGGCGAGACTGATTTGCTTGGTAGAAAATGAAAATGACATTTTTCATCAAGAGAAATTAAATATATATTTGGCTTAAAGTTTATTTTTGCGAAAATTTTAGAAAGGCTAATATTTTGACGGATACCATGAATTTTTTCGAAGGGTGAATTGAGAGAGAAAAAAGATCAGAAAAATTTGTTCATTTCCTATCGCCAAAAACATGCTTTGGATTTGATATAAAAATAAAATGTTGCGGCTCTCCTGGAATCGAATGTCCTTGATACTGGTATATTTTAGATTTAAAATTAAGGTGACGTTAAGGCTGAAACTGGAGTACACAAAAGCCGTTCTTTTGATCTTGAAAATGTTGTTTTCGCCTGGACTATGTAAACTTGAAAGAATTAGAGGGAATAATTTTTTTTTAAGACCAAGGCAAGCCTTTAGTTTCAGAGTTCGCAGAATCTCTCATGAAATTCCATGTGGCGAAATAACAAAACCTTGTATATACTTTGCGCTCACTATGTGTTTACTTGAGAAATCATTCACTCTGCAATTTCTATTTTTGGAGTAGGAAATCTTTGACGTTTTGTCGCATTGGAAACGCGGAACTCTGATCAACATCAAACTGTTCTGTCATTCGCGCTGCAAGACGAAACGGAAGATATCCCAAATGCGGTGACGGTTGCCTTGGGCAACAGTAACCATTAAAAACGCTATTAATTTAATTTTGTATCTCTTAAAGCTCTTTTCAGGGTGTCGTCTGATTAGTCAAATTGTTGGGCAGACACGACTTAAGCGATCTCAAAATAGAAGTAAATAAACTTATCGTTATTACATTTAAAACTACACCCTGTTATTTTATTAACGAGTTAAGATTTTTCATATTTTAAAAAATTTTGAGTTGAAAGAGAAGAATATTTGGCTCCGCAAAATTGTCGACCATCCCAGTCTTTACACAGTTTTTTCGTTTAGTCTGTAATGAGATGTGTCACGTTTTACGACTTATTTTAGGCCGCATTACTGAAGTCCGATTTCTGTTTCCGATCCCAACTCGTGTGACGGGCGTGGGCAAGTGTGAGGTGCGCGGGGGTGTGGGAGACGGATTCACGGCGATTGCGCGCGCCAGTAACGGTCCGCGCGGCGCGCTGTGGCGGAGCGAGGGCACAGGTGCGCCCCTGGTCAGTGACCCGGCGGCCGGACCCGCCGGACCCCGCCCCGCCGGACCCCGCCTGCCTCCCCGCCCTTGCTCAACGTAAACGGAGGCCAGAACTACTTGTGTCTTATGCAGTAGTCAAAGAATCCTTCAAAACGGTTAAAAATCGATATTGCAATAAGTTGAGCAAAGCGCTTAATCGCGCAATTAAAAATAGTAGTAGCACGAAAATCTTATAATTGATTAAATGATTATTTTCTAAAAAAAACTCATTTTTTTCTTTAAATTGTTTCGCCTTACGTATCAAAGTACGGTAAAAAAAATGAAGCCAGTCTCATTTCCAACGAACGCTGTATTTTAGAAATTTGCAAAAAGTTAAGATTTTAAAACCACAAACTTGAAGATTTTTGCCTTCAAAATTATGTTCTAAAAATCTACTCTTTAAAAAAGCCTATGAACACTTTTTTGAAAGAAAAAACAACTAATCATTTTTGTGTAATTTCTGCTTGAAATCGATGCGATTTATAAAAAAAAATATTTTCTCAGAAACAGCACAATTTTTTTTTTAATTTTCCCATGGATAAAAAGAGTCACTAAAAAGAAAGGCGCAGGTTTAATTTTCGTTGATCTCTGAATGTTTGCAAATTTCAAATTTAGAAATAATGCAGGAAAGTATGTGCTGTAGTAGTGCCACTTTTGTATTGTACCACACAATTATCATTCTACTTCTATCATGTGCTCCGCCTGGTTTCCGAAAAAAGATACAGTGCATTCAGTATTTCATATTTTCGGCGGCCGTCTCAGCCTGTTGTTTCCCTATATTTTGCTAAATTACAACATTGCTTTTCTTTATTTGATGTCTTTTGAGATGTGTGATGATTGACTATGGTTTGTTATTCCAGCGGAAATATGCTTCATTTACAAAAACCTTCCCAAAACATAATTTAGGCTCCTATTGGAGGATACTTTTACTTGACAGCTTTGCGTATTATTTTATTCTGGTTTTATTAACATCAGGTGTCCTCAGAAATCGACGATTCTTCTTTACAAATTTCCCAAAAAACCATTCTTTGTAATTACAATTTTATTTACTTGTAACTCTTTTTACAATGATGGGTATTTCTTCATCAAAATGATTCTTCTCTGTGAATACCATACATTGTATTTGCTTTCAACTGTATAACTTTCGAGCTCCTTGCGTAGAACCATATGCTC